GTGCACCGGAGTTTGGTGCATATTTGTTAAGGATTGTAATATCTTCTTGGTTAATTGTTCCTTTGATCAGAATGAAGTGACTCTTCTTATCTCTTCTGATTAGTTGTACTTTGAAGTTTATTTTGTCAGATATTAGAATTGCAACTCTTGCTTATTTCTTAGTGCCATTTGCTTGGCATATTCTGTTCCATCCTTTCACCTTAAGGTAGTGCCTGTCCTTGAAGGTGAGATGGGTTTCTTGCAGACATCAAAAAGATGGATTTTGTTTCTTAATCCATTCACTTAGTCTGTGTCTTTTGATTGGGAAGTTCAGTCCATTGATATTAAGTTTATTATTGAAAGATATGTATTGGTCGCTGCCATTTTGGTTGCTGTTTGTGTTCTTTGTCTAATTTTGTGTTTCCTCAATTATACCTTTATTTATTTTCTTTCATTGCCCCTGGGGTATAGTTGTTTCTCTCTCTGCTCTCTGTATTGCTTCAAGTATTCTTTGAAGGGCTGGTTTCGTGAACATGCATTCTTTCAGGCTTTTTGTGTCATGGAAGACTTTTTTCTTTCCCATTCAACTATAATTGACACTTTTTTGGTGGGTAAAGTATTCTGGGTTGGCATCTATTGTCATTTAGAACTGGAAATACCTTGGTCCAGGCTCTTCTGGCTTTCATAGTTTGCATTGATAAGTCAGCTGTAATTCTGATGGGCTTTCCTTTGTATGTGACTTGTTTGTCTTTTGGTGCTTTCGGTATTGTCTCTTTGTTCTGTACATTTAGTGTTTTTACTATGATATGCTGTGAGGAGTTTCTTTTCTAATCCTGTCTATTTGGTGTTCTATGTGCTTCCTGTATTTGTATGGGGATGTCTTTCTTTAATTTTGGGAAGTTCTGTTCTACAATCCTGTTTAAGATCTGGTCAACACCATTAACCTGAAATTCTTCTCCTTCCTCAATGCCTATGATATGAAGATTTGCTCTTTTTGTGGTGTCCCACATCTCTTGCATATTCCATTCCTTTGTATTTTTAAAATTTTCTTAATCTTTGCTTGAGTGGTCCAATTCTTCAACTTTATCCTCCTGTGTTGATATTCTGTTTTCCATTCCATTCATTCTAGTGGCGAGGCTTTCCCCTATTGTTTCAAGTTGGCTTATTGAGTTTTTCACTTCCTTCTTTATTTCTGCCTGACTTTTCTTCAATGTTTCTATTTCTTCTGTGAATTCATTCAGAAGTTTATCCCTATCTTCTTTTAGATCTTTGATTTGTTCATGTGTTCTTTAAATTCTTGTCCTTTTAAATTCAGTGTCCTGGGTTATCTCTAGGGGGGTTCTCCTTGTAGAACTCATGATTGGTTGGGTTTGATGGGGTCATAGTGTTTTGGTTTTTCCATTTTATTATTCTTTCATTGTGGTTTTGGCATATGAATTTTTGTTGTTTGTGATTTTGATATGAGAATTAAGTTGAAATATGCTTCTGTTTGTATTATTGGTATGCCTTGGTCCTTTTCTTATTGGTTATATAAAGCTGGTTGGCCCAGGTTTCAGGTCCTCTCAGGTTTTATTTTGGAGGAAACTGATGGCTTCAGATCAGCTACTCAGGAGCATCCACAGAAGCCCAAGTTAGGTTCCAGTCAGGTACACTCAGGCTTCCTTCTAAGGTTTGGACACCTACTAGTGGGAACTCAGAACAAAATTTGGGAGGATCCCTAAGGGGGAGGGGGGCTGATTTTGGGACTCTCAGCAGGTCTGCTGAGTTCTCAACCCTGATGCCATAGGAAGGTGGGAACAAACACTCTTTGGCCATCTGCTGAGATCCCAGCTGCTACACAGATGGAAGTTGGAACCCACTGTCTCAAGCTGTCTGCTAAGATCTCAGCCTTACCCTACCAAAGCCAGATCTGCCCCAGGGCCTTGAGAGTCGCCTCATGCAATCCCACTTAGGGGTTTAGGTACTGTGCAATTGGGGGAAGCTCACCACCATGTGGAGGCAGGATCTGGGCTCTCTCAGGCAGTCCCCTGAGTTCTCAGCCCCTATGCCAGAGGGAGGTGGGAACAGACACTCTTCGGCAGTCTGCTGAGATCCCAGCCTACACACATCTCTTTCCTCCTTTCTTTAGCTCCCCTCCATCCTCCTTCCTTTATTCTTTTCTGTAATGGGTGCTTCCGTCCTTTGACAACTAGATATTCTTCTGCCTGTTTTTTTCCTTTACGGTCTCTGATGAGACTTTTCTGTGGCCTTTTAGACTTTCTGTGGTCTTATCTGTGTATTTGCATCAGTGTTATTGGTACATTATAAAGTTTTAGAGTGAGCATTTCAACCAGGCATGAAACAGGAATCTACTCGAAGCATCTCACTCTCTTTCTGCCCAGAGCATTGGTAGATGCTTAAAATAGTCACCAAATGCTGGTTGTCACTTCCATTTCTTGAAGTTCTCATAAGCAGTTGACTTAAGTACAGTCAAATTTTGTCCAGAGCCACCTCTCTCTGCATGTCAGTCCAAGCTTCTCTGTTCCCCTTCTTCACAAATGCTCATCCAGCTACTTTGTACAGAGTGCTGATGACAGAAACTGTCTGGGGCCCCACTGTCATACTGTGCCCTTCTAATTGGGATAAAGAACTGGTCTGACCTACAGACCCTACATGATAAAATCTACCTGACCATCTGACCCCAGTTTTTTGTTCTTCCCCGCAGTCTCTCCAGTCACACTGACTTCTGTAAGCCCCAGTGAAACCTTTGCGGCAACTCCCTCACCTCTCATCAAGCCATGTTGCATAGCACGATGATTAAATGAAGGCTGTCTATGTTGTTTTATCCACTCAGTGGTGTCCATTTATCCTATTTTTTTCTCTGTAGTCCTATATTTCATACATTCTCCCTTAGAACACATGTCTCTGAAATATATTCATGTTAGTTACTTGTCTTGTTACTACAACAAAATATCTGACAAACCAGCTTAATGAAGGGTTTATTTTGGCTCATAGTTCCAGGGCACAGTCTATCAAGGCAGTGAAGATATGGCAGCAGGAGCAGGAAGCAGTTGGTCATGCAGCATATCCACAGTCAGAAAGCAGGGTGATCATGAATGATGGGGCTCAGCTCCTTTCTCCTTTTAATTCAGCTGGGACCCAGCCTGTAGAATTGTGGTGTCACATTAGAGTGGATCTTCCTACCTTAATTAACCTAATCTAGTTAATAACTCAAAGACATACCCAGGGATTTATTTCCATGGTGATTCTACATCCCTTCAAATTGACAACCAAGATTAACTATCATAATATCCTTGGCATTTTCCTTAAGAATCTGCTGGTTGTAAGATCTTTAAGCCCTTGTCTGGTATTTTGTGTAATTCTGATATGAGATCTTTGTTGGGTACTGAATTTAAGGTTGGTAGTTATTTTCTTGAACACACACACACACACACACACACACACACACACACACACAATTTCATTGCCTCTCAGCTGACATTCTGTTGAGAAGTTCATTGTCTATCTGCCACCCCTTTCAAGGATAACTGGTTCCTTCCCACCTCTCCCCAGCCCCCATTGCTGCTATTAAGATTTTTTCTTTGTCTTGCCTTCTCTTCACTACTCCTCAGTATCTAAGTATGGATTTCTTTTAATTTTTGTATTGTTTGGTTTGTTTGATTCTCAGTTCATTTTTAGAAAACTCTCAGCTATTTCTTCAAGCATGACTTCAGCCTCATTCTTCCTTTCTCTCTTTTGAATACCTAAGCACCCATCGACTCTCCATTGATTTGTATATTTTAACTACTTCTTTTAAAAATTCTATGTTTAGTTTTATTTCAGATGTTAGGTCATTATACTGTCTTATTTCTAGAAAAAATATTTTATTTATTATTTTTATTTTATGTGTATGAGTGTATTGCCTGCATGGTTGTAAGTGTACCTGTGTCTTACAATGCCCTCAGAGGCCAGAAGAGGGCATCAGATTCCTCTGGAACTAGAGTTATGGACAGTTGTTAGCTGCCATGTGGGTGCTGGGAATTGAACCTGTGTCTTCTGCAAGAGCAGCCAATGCTTTTAACCACTGAGCCATCTCTCTAGCTCATCTTGAAGATTTTTTTAAACTTGTATTTTCTTCCTTGAATATAATAAACAGTTCATTTTGTAAAACTCTGATGGATAATTAAAAAAAAGAAGTCTTTGAAGGTCTGTTTTGTCCTTTTCTGCCAGTTCCCACTCATAGGGTCTTATTTCCCAGTATTCTTGAATATCATACTCTGTTAGTTGGTTTCCTAAGTTATTGGTAGGGGTTGTTTACAAGACAAATCTAAATTATTCTGAGAGGGCTTTTCAAGACGTATGGAGAGCTACCACAAAGGAGCACTTGAAATTCACAGTTTAAGAATGTTTGGACAAAGGAAGTAGTAGATTCACATGCTCAGGAGCCCATAGCCACACTCTCTGGGAACATGTTCATTAGTGCTTTCCCTTTCTACCCTCAGGTCTTTTCTGTTCTAAGGTACCTTAACTATGCATGCATACCTGTGGGAAGATGGGCAGAGTGTACATATGCTTTGCCAGTGCCCTCATTTGAAGTCATCAGGCCCCCTGGGGACTTAAAGTTAATGAGGACAGCATCTTCTATTAATCTTTACCTTGGGTGAATCCTAGGCTTGTGAATCTGTCCCTTTTGTTCCAAGAGGCTACCAAGACAGCAATTATTTCTATGTTCAGTGCTTTAAGTGGAGAATCTATTCAAAGAACTTACCCCCATTAGAGAAATGAGTGTGTTTTAACTGTATTGTAGATGTGTTGCTTCGTATGTGTCCTCTTGGTTTGACTTTCTTTCTTGTTTGTTTATTATTTGACTCCCTCTCTAGATAATACTTTAATTTTATTTAATAATCACTTATATGCCAATTACTTTGTACCAAGTATAGTTCTAGAATTAGCTATAAACATAATATAAATTTCAACTTATATCGGTTTTCCTAAAAGCCCTATGAAATAGACACTACTCTTACCAGATCAAGAAACAGGATGTATTGTATGAAAGGAGAAGTTAACACTCCCCTTGACAAGGATAGAAGGGGCCCTTGGGCTTAACAACATGCATATGTTTAACACATTGCTACCTACTTTGTGGCATCTAACCACTATTTTTGAACCCATGTTGAAGGGCAACACAAACCTGACTATATATACATATATATAGATATATATATATTAATATGGACATATATATATATATATGAATATATATTCAAATATATATGAATGATCTGGCATGTGACCCCAGGAAGACCAGCTTCAGAGAGAGTATAGGGTCATAGCTCATCACTCTGCTGAATGTCATTCCAAGAGAACAAGAATGCACCACTGGTGCTCAGTAATAATAGTCCTCAGTGCTGTTGAATAAGTTATTACAGAGAGCATAGATAAGGATGCTCTGATTATAAAGTGAATGATTTGGAAAAAAAGCAAAGCAGTAAAGACAGCAATGTAATGCACTTTAGATGTCATTCCTTGTGATAATAGCTTGGGCTGTCTTTAATTTTGATTCGTGAATATAGTAGGTAGAATCCGTTTTTATTTGTTCTTTTTCTGTTTCTTTGTTTTTGTTGTTGGCACACTAAAGGTTCCGTGTTAAAATAACCTCTGAAAGTGATGGTTTAGGTGGTAAGATGCAGGTGGAACCCTAGAGAACAGCAGCTGAGACTTTATAAACACTGAACTTAGGGAATACAGAACGTGAAATTCCCGAGGGAGGCTCCCTAAGACATTTGAGCTTGCTTAGGATACAAAGATAATTCACCTTTATTATTTTTAGAAAATCATTGATGTAAATGGAAGCCATGGGCTATGTTCCAAGGCAATGTCTCTTCTTGGTTACCTGATTCCAGGTCAGGGTTGGGGTAGCCTGGCTCCTTGTGAAGGTGACCTGCTCACTTCTGTTGGTCAAGTTCCTCTGCAAAGTGTCAGCTCCGTTATGCTCTGTTTGCCGGGCTGTTTTCTTTTTGTGGTTGGTTGGTGTATCGGTACCATGCGTCACATGAATGCAATCGGGGTGGATATCTGATGAAAGGGTAACCTGATGCAGAGAGTGAGCTTTCTGTTTCCTTGGGTTCATCAAGACCATTGTCAAACTTATGGAGCTGGCAGTCCTTAAAGAATCACTGCTTTCCTATGTCTCAGGATATCTGGGGAGGTTATGGATGTTTTGGGAACTTACCTTTCCTCAGCCAAATTCAGGTATATTTCCTTAGTATATGTCCATTAAGGGAGTGCTAGGCTTATGCACGGATGCAGTTTCATTTACTTAGTAGGATGAAGTGCTGCAGTTGTGGCACAAAGCCTTTCTAATAACCGTAAATTTTGAATTTTCAACAAAAAGCAAGACTTTTTGCTTTAACTGCCCAGAGCCACTCTGAGAGGTAAGTATTCTCAGCCCTACTATTTCATCTTAGAAAGTTGAAGCAATTTCCTAAAGGTTACTGGATTTCAGAGGTGGAACAATTTTGAGTCTGTTTTAGTCACTTTGTCCTAGTACACAGTTCTTCTCATACACCTATTTAAATTTCTGACTGCCATTTAGGTAATCATTAAATCTATAAACTTTTGTTATTGTCAAGGCTATACCAGCAGAAGTTAGTCATACTTAAAAAATTCTGATGAAGTCACTATCTTTTGAGCTTTCTCCTCACACAAAGCTAAATCACACACATGTGGTTACTTAAGTGGTATAGCCCTATGGACTCACAGATCACTGAAAATAGAACTCAGACGAATTCTCTGCTAATTATTATTACATGATTTCTTACGAAAAGACTTGATGGTTAGGTTGAATTTCCAGCTGTGTGGCTTTGAGAAAATTAATATCTTCAGCCTCTCCTTTCTTTATATTTAAAGTGAGGCTAATTCTATCCACTTCCCTGGATGGCTTCCAGGATTAAAGTAGACAATGTACTTACACAAGTCCATAGCACAGTGTCCACATAACAGACTTTCAGTAAATGCTTTGTTTCTCCTTGACTAACGTCTTTCTTTGACTATGTGAGAATATTATGTTAAAAATCCTAACAACTGAGGTCTTTCATCTGTTTTGAGGTGATTTTTGTACAGAGTGAAAGATAAGGATCTAGTGCCAGTCTTCTACATAGGGCACTCAGTTTCCCTAGCACCATTTGTTGAAGATGCTCTTTCCTCCAGGGTGTATATTTTGGCATCTTTGTTAAAAATTACATTGGTGTAATTGCATGGAGCAAAGGTATGAGGTATGTTATAAAATATAAGCACAGGTAAGGAATTTCTAAATAGGATAGCAGTCACTCAGAAAATAAGGCCAACAGTTGACAAATAATGAAACTGTACAGCAGAGGAAACAGCCTAGTGAAGAAGGAGCCTGCAGAATGAGAGGAAAACTTTTCCAGCTATGCCTACACCAGAGGATTAATACTTAGAATACACAAAGAACTTAAAAACATTAAGGAAACAACTCCATAAATTAGCAGCTGTAGAGCTTAACAGTTATAAAAAGAAATACGAGTTACTAAAAAGCATTTCAAAGATTGAAAAAAAATCCTAACAATTAACCAACCAACCAACCAATCAATTCCAACGGCTTTTTGTAAAGTACCATCTGAGTCTTAAAAAAATACTGTCAACATTGTTGGAGGCCAGTTCCTGCTTCCAACAACATCATGATAAAATTACTGTAGAATATGTAATATACAACAATTTGCCTTGAATCAAGTTATTTTCAGGAACATGTTCAATGACTAAACCCAATCAAGCTGCAGTTTTCTGTGTGTTAGTCAAGAAAGCTCTTTATTCTTCAGCACCCAAATCATATTACTTATGGTTAAAGGAGGAAGTGTTCTGGGTCAAGCCTGAAAACAATGCTATAAGAAGGGATTAGCAAATTCCAAGCCCAAATCCTCAGAAACAAGGTCACTGCCAGACTGTAGCTGTGGGCACATACGCTGCTTCATTAATTCTGGAGTCTTGACATATAACCCATATCACTGAGCCACACTCGAGGAGGAAGCAGTCAGGAATGAAATGTCTGTTATGTCAGACAAGATGGCACTCCCCATTTGTTTTTATTTTGTTAAAGCAATACATGTGCATATGCTTAAGAGCTAAATATATTACTAAAGTATTTGTAGAAAATTACAGGGGTTCCATGGGGCTGGAGAGATGGCTCAGTGGTAAGGAGCATGTACTACTCTTGCACAGGACCCAGATTTAATTCCCAGTATCTACTTTAGGTGACTCACAACTGCCTGGAATTCTAGCTTCAGGAGATCCAGTGCCTCTCCCTGGAGGAACTGTGAGCACATGCATATAACCCCTACATAGACATACACGTGTACATATAATTGAAAAAATAATAAAAGTAAATCTTAACTAATTAAGGAAATTGCAGGGGTTTCTTACCATATTCCTTCCTTTAATCCCCCCTCAACTTCCAGTCATTTTTATTTATTTTTTATTCCTGGAACTTACAGCTTTCCATATTTCTAAATAATACGAACCATAAAATAGACATTCCTTGCATGGCGCATGAAGACTTATTTCTGTGATGCCACCACTTCTCTTCCATCATATCCCTTCTAGAAAATGTATCCTTGTTTAGTAGGCTGGTCCATGTTTCTATTGTGCCTATGCAGATATCATTTAGGCAGACATTTCATTGTACATTTAGTATCTTAGGTTCTTTTTATTAAGTTAATGGTGGTCTTTTTACAAAATAGAAATGTCAACTTGTTTATGCTTTCCCTTTCTACTCCTCCAGTGGCTTCTGGTACAAGTTGTGGTTTGAATCTGAAATGCCCTCCTCAGGCTCTTGTGTTTGAATCCCTGGTCCCCAGCTAGTGGCGCTGTTTTGGAAGGTTGGTTGTGGACAGGCAGAGTGGGTCACTTGGGGCAGGCCTTTGAGAAGCTATGACCTGCCCCTGCTGCCCTGTTACAGAGTTGTTCTGTCATTCCTTCACCTTCCATGATGCCCTGCATCTTTTGAAACCATGAGGCAAAATAAATCTTTCTTAAGTTGTTTCTTTCAGCTATTTTTTTCATTGTGGGTGATAAATATAAGTAATATACCTTCTTACAAGTAATCACAGCAATACCATGTGTCCCTTTGGTTTTTCTAGGCAAGGTCTCCTTGAGTATTTCTGTGGTTCTTTGCTCTGGGCTGACGTCTTTCTTACCTGCAGTACACTCTCCTCTAGGAATTCTTTGAGTTGTACTCTCCATTTTCTGGATTTGGAGTCTTTCTTTCTTGGGGGACTCCATTGAGTTGGGGGAGCACATTGTGATGTGGAGCACCAGTGTCGGTCATGAGATGAAGGCAGGATGAGGGCAGTCCTCAGGTGTGCCTGCCCTTGAGTCACATGGTATCAGTCCTGGATGCTTGCCCTCCATGCCAGGTACCTAGCTACCTCCCAGGTCTATTTGCTCTTATTCTGGAAAACCCCTTTGTCCCAGGCTCTGTTTTCCATTTTCTTATCCCATACCCAATTCCCTCTTAGCTTAACCCCTCCGTCACATCCCTCTGTCTGCTCTCTCATTCCTTATATCAGTTCCATCACTTCAGATCAATCTTCTGCTTACTCTGATCATTAAATATCTAATTTCACTGTTTTAAAAACCGTATTTGTATTTTCAATGTCAGCTGTTTTTATAATGTATTTTTTTCTCTTATTATTTTATTCTTTTGCTATCTCTTTAATTAATGAGAGGTCTACCTTGCAATGTTTTAGACTGTCATTCAAATATTTTCACTTTGTTAAGGACTGATTCTATTTACTGTCACTCCTTATTTTTTGGTTACTCTAGATCTTTTTCTGTTGTGATTTTTTGTTGTTGTTGTGAGCTTCTCTTCGGTGGGGCAAAATTTTTCCCATGGGAGTTATGTGTGATCTGGTACCTTCTGTATCACTCTTCTGCAGGACCAGAACTATCATCAGTCCAAGTGTGCTTCTTGAGTTAGGTTCTCTACTTAGCCTTTCTCCTGTGACATGGGCAGTATAAATCTGGCCCTCAGTGGCACATGGGTCACAGGTTTAATTTCATACAAAGAAGAGTCTTTTTTTTAAAAAATCTGTCTACTCTATTTTTCCCCACAGGATGATGTTTTCCTGTTATATTACCTAGATCGCTA